TATGGTCCTATAGATAATCCATTCGTACAATTTATTTCTTAAATTAAACTTTTTTCTAAAATTATTTTTGATTCAAACTAAAAAATAGGCATTTTTTAAATTAATGTTTACCATATAATATGGTAATATTAATTTATAAACAGTTCTTAAATCTTCCAATTTAAAATGTGGGGCTTTGAGAAATTTGTTTAAATTTTTTTAGTTTTAAAATAAACCTATTTTTTTATTTTGTTTCTTAACCAAGAAAAGAGGTGATATAAACTGACCTGAATACTTCTGATAATATTTAAAATTGTTTTATTATCAGTAATTGTTTTCCATGTGTTTCAAAAATTTTTCAATCGCCCTGCAAAACCTACCTCTAATGCCTGCTTACATATCTGCTCTTCGATTTTTGAGGAGGTCCTCGATACTGAGCAGATCTCTTGTAATGAGCTGGAGTGGTCTTGTACCCTACTTTCGCCCCCACCCCTTTTGGAAGAGCAGGGGTCTTGAAGTCTTTTGAAACCATACAATTTTTTGGTTGTAATATATATCTCGACCAGTTTTATTCAACACCATCAAAGATTTTATTTGTTTGTCTATGTTTTTCACAAAATAACTATTTAGTTTTCCTTTATTACTTCCTTTACGTCCTTCGATAAATTTGGCATAATTTGGTTTCGTCGTCTCATTGAAATTGAATGAAAAATAAGTTCTTTTAGAACTTCTAGGTCTTCATTTCCATTATTGATTAAGGTTGTCATAGCCAATCCCAAAGCACACATGACTGTTCCAAGCAAATTTTGTGGTGGGATAAGATAATAGTTATCAGTCTTCATAAGGGCTTCACTCATAGTAATACTTATTTCGGGATTAATTTTGGGAGCTACAAGAGTTACAATTCTCTGGAGTTATTTATTACTTTTGTTTTTTGCTCCTTATACGAATATATTCCTATCTAATATGATTTTTTTTATTAGGCACGAGCGAAGCTTGCGAGCGAGTGTTTAACAAAAACGAGTGTCTGGAGAAGTTTATAAAACGACGAACAGAAATAAAAATTTAAAGCCAATTTCAATTCATAAATATTTGGCATTTGACATTTAACCTCACAGGGTACCCACTCACCTGGAAAACAGGGAAAACCTGGAAATGTCAGGGAAATTAAATATTAATAAAAAAGTCAGGGAAAAGTCAGGGAATTTGCTGAATTTTACGAAAAGTCAGGGAATTTAACTAATTTTTACGAAAAGTCAGGGAATTTAACTAATTTTTATTGATTTTTCCGAAAATTGTTTCTATTTTTATACCGCCCGAAGATTATTTTTTACAAATATTATAGCCGGGCATTGAAACTAAAATAAATAATTTGTGCAAATACTTATAAAATGTATGACCTTATAAACTAAGTTTGTTTCCTTTCAAATTTTTTATGAATGTTCTGTTTAATTTTTTATTATATTTTAAGAAATGTTAAAAAAAATTGTAAAAAGAAAAATAAAATATATTTTTACTATAATTATTGCTGGAAATTGATGAAAATTGGTCTGGAAAACCTGGAAAAGTCAGGGAATTTTGTTTCATTTTGTTGGTGGGAACCCTGCCTCACTTTTTCGCAATTTATAATAAAACCAACTTCAGCCCGTTATTAAAATGCCCAAAAGCCACGGTTGCTAATTTCAGCCCGTGACTAAAGCGAAAAGTCACAGCTTGTCAATTTGGGAGTAGATAATAGTATATTATGGATCAAGTTTTATAAATGCCATTTTAGTTACGAGTTTTATTAGACACGAGCGAAGCTTGCAAGCGAGTGTTTAATAAAAACGAGTGTCTAGAGAAGTTTATAAAACGAGTTGCATACTATACTTTATCTACGACGCACACGAAGAAGAATTTAAAGCCAATTTTATTTGTTAAACTTTTGACATCTGCCAACTTTTAACGGATTTAACCTCATTTTTCCCTTATTTATAATAAAGCTTACTTCAGCCCGTGACTAAAATGCCCAAAAGACACTGTTGCTAACTTCAGCCCGTGACTAAAACGCCATAAGTCGCAGCTCGTCAATGAAGGAGTAGATAATTAGTGTATTATGTATCAAGTTTGAAAAACGCCATTTTATACACGACAGTTTTTCACAGTGAAAGTAAAGAAATTGTTTTATAAGGACTTTACAGTGGAGTCCGTGCCAAAATTTAAGTTATAGTTTACTGCCGGCGAAATTAAAAGGTCAGTACAATTTTCATATAAACTTTTCAAATATTGACGTTGAGAAACTATTTAATACTTTTGTATTTTTGTATTGAGATAATAATAGCTATTTACATACCATGGGAGGAAAATAGTGCTTTTCCTCCCGCGAATAGTTTGATGCCCGACGCGAAGCGAAGGGCATTAAATATTCAAGGGGGGAAACGCATTTTTCTCCTGAGGTATGTATATAGTTTTTTCTAATACCTTCTATCGGTTTTAAGACATTTTAAGCATTCCGGTTCCTTTTACTAACCCGGTATGGGGCTATAAAATTATGACAAAATATTAAGTAGGTGTTGCGTCGCCGACGTTATGTTGACAATGCTTTGTTGCTATGGTATTTTTGGTAATACAAACAACAGTTTTTATAAGCTGTCAGAATGTTTATCATAAATTTGAAATTCTTCCTACGTTTTGAAAATGAGTTCTAGCGAAGACCTGCCGCAAGATCATGCTATAGAGGCAAGAATAGGTGCAATTAATTTCCTTCCTTAAAAATTGAAAGAGCGATATGAAAATGAATATAGTTTGTTAAAAGAATGGTTGGACAAGCGCGGAGTAAATCTTTTTTCTACTAAGTCAAATAGGGTTAGACAAGGTACAAAAACTCTTGCTTATGTAAAATTGTTAAAAAAAAAGAGGGAGAAAAATTGTTTTCCTCCCGGGGAGGAAAAGAGGCCTTTTCCTCCCTCGCTCGGGGGTGGAAAATTAAGTTTTCTAGCAAGGTAGTAGAAAAAATAATTTTTACATTTAGTATAATTTTACAAGAAAGGCACTTATTTTAACGATTGTATGACATTTGACAACTGTCAACTAACTTAAAACTAACTTCAGCCCGTGACTAAAAACCTGTTGCTAACTTCAGCCCGTGACTAAAGCGCCATAAAGCCACAACTTGTCAATGTGTATTTAAAAGGTCACTTAGTGTCATGGAAACATGTACGATAAAGGGCGTTTTAAAGGTGGGAGTAGAAAATAGTATATTATGTATCAAGTTTGATAAACGCCATTTTAGACGTGAATTTAATTTAGGCACGAGCGAGCGAGTGCTTAAATTAATGAGTGTCTAGAAAAGTTTATAAACGAGTTGCATACTATACTTTTTCTACGACAAATACTTATTATTATCTTAAAATGATTTAAATCAAATATTTGTATAGAGCGCCATCTATAAAACAATAGGGGAATCTGTGTTAAGTACCGTCAAATGTCAAATTTTTCTTTGTTTTAAAGGTTATAAATCGAAATATTTTCGTTGAAAATCGATTAACAAGAGTTTTTCTCAGTGAATGTAAAGAACATGTTTTATGAGCTCTTCACGGTGGAGTCCGAGCTCGAATTTAAGTTATACCTATCCAGTTTACTTTCGGCGAAATTAAAAGGTCAGTACAATGTTCATGTAAACTTTTCAAATATTGGCGTTGAGAAACTATTTAATGCTTTTGTATTTTTGTATTGCGTTAAAAAAATAATTTTCACATTTAGTATTATTTTTTCAAGAAGGGCACTTTATTTTAACGATTGTATGACATTTGACAACTGTCAAATAACTTAAAGCTAACTTCAGCCCGTGACTAAAACGCCATAAAGCCACAACTTTTCAATGTGTATTTAAAAGGTCACTTAGTGTCATGGAAACATTTACGATTATGGACGTTTTAAAGGTGGGAGTAGAAAAATACATTTGTTTGATTTTTTTGCCTTAATTTAATTCTAATAAAGATTTATTCATATTTACAAAATCTTTATTTGTAAAACTGAGTTTGACATTTACAAAAGATAAAAACAAAGAATATAAATTTATATATAATGTAAGAAAATTCCTTTTTTATTATTTGCTATTCTTCCACAGAAATAGCATGCATAATCCATACTAGGTTTACCATAGAAGGTTAATAATTAAATTGAATTGCAAACATTAAATTACTAATTTGGCGACATGAATCCGGCCGGATCCGACCGGATTGAAATTGGTGCCGGATTGAATCCCTAATTTAGACCCTTATTTTTGTCACTATTAGGTTTTTCCCCCAAACAGTCCACTAGCATGTCCTCCTCCTCCTCAACATCTGTACCATAAGAATCTGCTGAATCTAATGATTATATTTGCCTGAAAAAAAAAATGGTATTTAGATTTGAGCATTTATAAACGTAGTGTTTATTTAAGGATTTTAAAACCCATGCTCGTCTTTTTTAGACCTAATGTAACATAGAGGAATTTTAAACCTCATACGTTTCTTTCTGAGGGTTTTTAAACCTCACGCATCCATAAGCATTTTTTTGATGGTTTTAAAACCTTCGTTTTATTTGAGGGTTTTAAAACCTCACGCATTTTTATATTTGGCTGGACCTTTTTGGCGAGTCTATTTTAGGGTTTTAAAACCTCATGCGTTTCTTCCTGAGGGTTTTGAAACCTCACGCAATTCCTTTTGTGCTTACCTCTTTTTCGTTTTTTTGTACCTCTTTTTTCTTCTTGTACCGGCAAGCGTTCTAATAACATCATCTCCAATCACTCCAAATTTTTTTCTTTCGACACTAAGTAAACGCAATGAATGAAAACTGTGTTACCGACAGAGTATAACTAATTTCTTTTATCTGTCAAATAGTGGCAAGAGTAGACACCAGGTGGCGCTACTACATAGTAATTAAGTATCTCGAGGAAAGAGACTCACAATTATATAATTAATACTAATATATTATTAATTTTATACTAAATATGCAACTATGTTTAGATTCATCTTGAGAAACTATTTTAGCTTTAAACCATGGGTGATTGTGATGAAAATATGATGGACATGGCCTGGGAGCATCGTTGTAGGCAGTTGGAAGTATTATTTTTAGGAGGTCCTGTAGTGACCAAAGAAAAAAGTTTAAGCATTGAAACGTTAATTGATGTTTTAATAGTTTTGTATGATGAGTGCTCTAATTCCAGTTTAAGAAGAGAAAAGGCTGTGTCTGATTTTATTGACTATGGTAAGTATTTTCATTTTTTTTTGCAATTTTTAGTTTATAGAGGTGGAGTAGTTTTTTACCTTTTGAAAACAGACTTTTTACCCAATTTTATAAGTTTTATATATTAACCACTAGTGGTTTAAACCAGCCTGGATAGAGCCCAAAAGTTTAGTTTAGGTCGGCCAAAAAGAATATTATAAAAGAATCATCAATTTTATCGTCAAAATTTTATTATTAGATAAAAAACAACTAACAAAATTTCCTTATATATGGAAATACCAAATAAAGATGTAGAATTCCTATAAATTCCGATACAGCCCTATATGATTCATATACGTAAATACCAATAGTAACACCATGTTTCCCTTTGTTCTGTTAGTAATAGACTTCGCCAGTCACAGATGACTGCATCAATGTTATTCTTCCATACACTGCCATTACCATTTCCTTTATAAAAATACTATCCATGGTATATTTTTTATTTTTATAAATTTGATGAACCTAAATAAAAATAATCCGTAGAAAATTACAAAAACATGCACTAAAAACCACGTTCTCTTTAAACGTTGGATATTACTATACAAACAAATTAAATTGGTGGTATTTTTGTGTCGTGTTTGGATAGGACAATGAAATACTTGATTCGCTTATGACTTCATTTATTCTTCTTATATCATAGACTTATATGTTACTCGTGCAACGGTCGATAGTCGAGAGAGCGTGCCAGTATATTACATATCAGGTGGTTGCGTGCGCAACACCACATTCCCCCACACTAGCTTGTTTGTAACAATTTGAAACATTACACAGCCACACAAATTTTTTTTTTTGTTTTGATCTGGGGGTCTGACCATATTTCTTTTATGTTTTTGGGGTCGCTGAATCCGAATCCAAGGTCTATTTAACCCCATCACATCAGGATTTTGACATAACCTCAAAAAATCTATAATTTAAGCTATTAAACGCATATAACCCTAAACATTAAGTTGTTGTCTAAAAACCCAAGCTCCTAAACCCTACAAGCCTAAAACTTACTTAACTCCATAACCCCATGACCCACTTAACCCCATCATCTATTTAAACATATAATCCTTAGGATGAAATTGTGATCTGAAAACCCAAGCTATTAAACCCAATAACCATTTTAACCCCATCCCATAAACCACTTAAACCCATAACCTTGTAACCCATTTAACCCCATCAACATCAATTCCAACAGTTCCGTATCTGAGACATTTAGCTTTGAAGAGACTAAAGTTATGCGGTTATTAAAATAACGTACATATTAAGTTAAATATCTGACAAACTTGGTTGATGTACATTGTTATGAGGTTAAATGGGTTATGGGGTTATGGAGTTATGTGAGTTATGAAGTTGTGATATTTAAGAGCTTGGATTTTTATATGAAAACCACATTCTCAGGGTTATATATAGTAATAGCTTATATGATGGGTTTTTTAAGGTTATGGCAAAATCCTGATGTGATGGGGTTAAATAGACCTCGGATTCGGATTCAGCGACCCCAAAAATATATAGAAAATATGGTCAGGCCCCCAGATCAAAACACAATTTTTTTTTTGTGTTTTGATCTGGGGGTCTGACCATATTTCTTTTATGTTTTTGGGGTCGCTAAATCCGAATCCAAGGTCTATTTAATCCCATCACATCAGGATTTTGACATAACCTCAAAAAATCTATAATTTAAGCTATTAAACGCATATAACCCTAAATATTAAGTTGTTGTCTAAAAACCCAAGCTCCTAAACACTATAAGCCTAAAACTCACTTAACCCCATAACCCCATGACCCACTTAACCCCATGATCTATTTAAACATATAATCTTTAGGATGAAATTGTGATCTGAAAACCCAAGCTATTAAACCCAATAACCATTTTAACCCCATCCCATAAACCACTTAAACCCATAACCTTGTAACCCATTTAACCCCATCAACATCAATTCCAACAGTTACGTATGTCAGACATTTAGCTTTGAAGAGACTAAAGTTATGCGGTTATTAAAATAACGTACATATTAAGTTAAATATCTGACAAACGTGGTTGATGTACATTGAGTTATGAGGTTAAATGGGTTATGGGGTATGGAGTTATGTGAGTTATAAAGTTGTGATATTTAAGAGCTTGGATTTTTATATTAAAACCACATTCTCAGGGTTATATATAGTAATAGCTTATATGATAGGTTTTTTAAGGTTATGGCAAAATCCTGATGTGATGGGGTTAAATAGACCTCGGATTCGGATTCAGCGACCCCAAAAATATATAGAAAATATGGTCAGGCCCCCAGATCAGAACACAATTTTTTTTTTGTGTGGCTGTGTTATTAATGTGAGCATAAACTATTTACATTTAACATTTTAATATCACATAATTACCAGGGGCGTAGCTACCGCGTATCAGCCGTATCAATGATACGGGGCCCCGGGCTAGGGGGGCCCCCGTTTGGCTTCGACATGCGTAAGCAAAGAACATATTATCCACATGTTAAAAAAATTGAGGCATAAAATTAAATAAATATTCAATTTTCTTAGTTTCTTTAAGAAACTTTCGTGACCAATTACTGGTAATATTCATCTGTGATACAATTGCTGTGTGCAGTTCCGGTTGCATAGTATGTACCGATTGCGGCAAAGGCCACTTCGTTTGACGGTGTGGATCACCTGATGTTCTTACATCTCGCCTCTGTTGGCTTACCAACCGAGCATATAAGCTCAGAGAGTCCTTTGTTTTGAGTTTGTTTTACTACACCAAGTTGCCTGACACTCATGGGACCCAATATAGGTCGAAACAGCTGTCAGTCGTTATTTGAAGTTGGTGGAACGCACTCAAAACAAAAAACTTTGACGATTTTTTCTTACAAATAAATAAATAATATTATTATTTAATTGTTTCCGCCATGCGTTGTCTGCGGCGCAGTCTGCGCATATTGTTCTGTGCTCTGCGCCGCATACTGAGTCTGCTTAGCGTGTTATTATCATAGATTATATTAAAAGCAAATTAGAAATAATTATTAGCGTTACAATTATTTTAAATGACTTGCTTTTATTTTAAAATAACAACCTTTTAAAAGATGTTGAAAAACGGTAAATGTCTAGAACCAGACCAAATTTTAAAATTTGCCTGTACATAAAAAGCTATGTTTACATATATTATTTATTAAATTATAAAAAATTGGTAAATGCAAAAAAATGATACCCTAAAAAATATTTTTGTTTGCCCAAAATAGACTGGGCGTGACACCCAGAAATGTTTTTGCCAGCAGCTCTTCCCGTATAAGGGCCCCTACCAGATTTTTGATACGGGGCCCCCTCGAGGCTAGCTACGCCACTGATAATTACATACAGACTGTATAGAATCAAGTAAGTAAGGCTGGAGACAAGGATAACAAATTATATTCTGATCAGAGAAAAAGAAACAAACTTTAATTGGGCGTGGTTTAAACCAAGCCATTCGTAATTACGAACCATAGTTGCCAGGTTGTTTTAAATCAGAAGAGAACGATTATAATTATTTAATAAATAGTTTAATTTTATTTGTTTGAAACTTAAAAAATAACAAAAAAAAAATAATATGTCAAAAATAATTTGATTTAGTTAATTTTCTTACTTTTAATATTAAAAAATAAGAAAAACAACCCTTTTAGGAAACAATAATAGCATATGGCAACAGCGCGGCATGCAGCCAGATACAAGGGCATGCAGTTTGATCTACTGGGTTCAGTAGCTCCGACGCTGTCGTAGGGAAATGTGTATAGTTTTTAAGAAATAAATTTTCGCCATTAACTGAAATTTAATGGATTTTAAACAATACTTAGTTTTTATTTGCAGAAATGCATTAAAACAAAACAAACGAATTCGATAAAAATAAAACCTATAAATTCTCAAACAAAAATAATTCTAAAATAACGAGTATGAGTATGAGTATAAGAGACGTATAACCAGCCCCATTTCCTCTTGACTCTCAAACCCCGTACAGGCCTATGTTTACTTACGCCGATTTTTGTTCTTCCCCAGCAACTGCACGGCTTCACCCGTGTTTGCTGGGTGCGAATGTCCATTGCGTTCCGTACTGTCCCCTATTTGGGGCTCGAGAGCGAGAGGCGAATAGATATAATAGCCGTTCCCGGGTTCGCCGGGCCTATGCTATACGCTCAGTGAGGTATGGATGAGGGACGGGAGGGAGTTGGTTTTTGGGGGACAATTACGCCGACTTAAAACTAAGTACGACGCGGAATCCCCCTAGACCAGTCGGTTAGTATTACTCCAAACATTTGGGATTACTATTTGGAGTTGGGGAGTTGTTATTACGCTGCAGGGGTGTAGTTTCCTAGTCGAGGTCTTCGTCTTGTTCATTATTGTCATTATCCGTGTCGGATAGTTCCTGAACTTGGTAAAGTGTGTCGGTTGTTTTTTTTTTATTTTATTTTTATTGTTGCTTAGTTGCTCCCAACTGGTCTTGTTACTTTGTGAGAAGTGCATGTTTTGTGCTACGTGTCATGAAATGTGAAGCATGGTCTACCGACTTTTTTGTCTTTAAGATCTAGTTTAAGGGTGGCTTGTAGTATGTTGTTGCGTTGTCTACGAGTGACGTGGTCCCAGTGTTTAATTGGGCTACTCTTACCCTTTTGGTAATGGTTTTTCCCATTGGTACGATAATCGGCACACATGATAAACTCCCCCGCAAAGAAATACAACCCCCCGCGGCCCCCCCGGAAGACAATCCACACAACGGCAATCGTACTACGACTACCGCCGTGTAGACCATCCCCCGTAGAGGCCACGGGAGGCTGCACCCCCCCGCGGAGGAGCCCATCACTCGTGCCGAGCGTAAGGCCGCAATCGCTGCGATAAGGCAGTTCCCAGTGGGGGGTATTTTTTTTACTTTTACCTTAGGTCTTAGTGTTTACAAATTCCATGGATATTGATTAGATTGCTTTTTTTACTTTGTTTATGTTTTCTTAGTTTATGTGTTATGTCTTAAGTGTCAAATTTATTGGTCT